ACACACACACCCGCGCGCGCACACAAACACACACACACAAACACACACGCGCACACACAAACACACACACAAACACACACAGACATTCATTTACGCTCGAACGCACACAAACACACACATACAAACATACACAAACATACACGCACGCACGCACACACACACGCACACATACACACACAAACACACACAGAGACAGAACGTCAAACTGGCTGAGATCCCTTTCAAATATGTGTAAGATAAAACGAGTGGTTGGCGGGTGCTCTAGTGTGATTTGCACATTCTTTCCTATAAAAAAAACATCTATCGTACTGATCTGTCTTTCTTTTTCGTGTTTGTTATTGTCTTGTAAAAACTCTTATCTTCGGCACTTATATTATGACCTTACTGTGTTGCAAGTGCCGTAAAACTCTTACTAAAACTAAAAACATCGTGCTTCTTAACCTATCCCTACGTCGTGTTTTACTATCGTATCCATACGACTTGGGGAACTCTGGGCCACCACTTTCCAAAGAGGAACTTTACTCATTAATCCGATCCGTACGCTTTTCATAGCAGTCCTTCAAAACGAAAGTTTCAAAGAGATCTTCGTTCTTGAAATATTCTGAAATATGAAGAATACAACCTCAGAGGGTACAAAATGACCCCAGGGCGTACAGGTAGGGCTACCCTTATCTCTTCATTGCCAAGAGGCTTTGTCCCACCTCTGTTCTGACGCTGCAACATTCCTCTCTTCATATTTGAAATCAATAGTTGTGGTCACTTGAAAGTTTACTATTACGAACCATAGACTGGATCACTTCACCATACACATTTAATAAGGGAATTCAAAAATAATATGAAGTAATTTTTATTGTGAAAACATTCTGTGAAGCAATTAATTACATTTTAAAGCTACTCTCTGATATTAGTTTTTGAGAAATTTCCAACTTTCATTATTTTTCTAAACCCCCTCTTAACGAGCCTTTCCTAAATGTTAGTTTTTAGGTACGGTACATAATTTTTGCAAATGTATTCTGGGGGTTAAAAAAAAAGAATTGAAACTCACACACATTTGGTTACTTTTGAATTTCATTTCTAGGGAAGTGACACAATGGGACTGAGAGATAAATATGGCGGGGACATAAAGGGAGAGGGACATAGATGCAGTGTATGTGTATGTGCACGGGGTGTGTGTGTGTGTGTGTGTGTGTG